GGGACACGACACACGCCACCCCGGAGTGATGTCGGGGGTGGAGGAAGGAGTTAATCACAGAATCAATCACAGAATGGTTTGGGTTGGAAGGGACCTCAAAGATCATCGAGTTCCAACCCCCCTGCCATGGGCAGGGACACCTCCCACCAGACCAGGTTGCTCAAAGCCCCATCCAGCCTGGCCTTGAGCACTTCCAGGGATGGGGCAGCCACAGCTTCTCTGGGCAACCTGTTCCAATTCCTGTTTCCAGTTCCACCCTCACAGGAAAGAATTTCTTCCTAATATCAAATCTAAATCTCCCCTCTTCCTGTCACTATTATCCCTTCCCCTCCCCTCTTCCCTTCACATTACTCCTTGTCCTCTCACTACAGCTGAATGAGTCTACAATCCTCTACAACTACCTGAAAGGAGGTTGTGGAGAGGTGGGGGTCGGTCTCTTCTCCCAAGTCACAGGCGATAGGACAAGAGGAAATGGCCTCAAGTTGTGCCAGGGGAGGTTCAGGTTGGATATTAGGAAAAATTTCTTCACCGAGAGGGTTATCCAGCATTGGAATGGGCTGCCCAGGGAAGTGGTTGGAGTCACCGACCCTGGAGGTGTTCAAAAGACGAGTAGACATGGTGCTTGGGAATATGGTTTAGTGTTGGGGACGGGGGGAGGGTTTGTTTTGCTTTGTTTTTTATGGTTGGACTAGATGATCTTAAAGGTCCCTTCCAACCCTTCCAACACAGGGCTGTTGGCGGGGACACAGGGGACGTTCACAAGTGACACAGGCTTTTTTGCACAGTTCCCCAGTCTAGAGAGCAGAGTTTTCAGCAGCACTGCCCTTCTTGTTCTCAGGCGCCGTTACAAATATGTTGTGACCCAGCAACAGCCCTGTGAGGGTTGGGAGACCGGCCTGTGGGACACAGCGCGTGATGTGATGCCTTCTCCTCTGGCACTGATCCTCGGGGAAATAACCCTTTGTCACCACTAGCAGAAGGCTGAGCAGAGCGCCTCCAACCACAAATCTCTTCGCTTTGCTGGATGGAAAATTTCTCCACCCACCTGATGAATAACCACAGGTGATGGTCTCAGAAAGCCTTTTTTTTTTTTTTTAAAGTTGCAGAGATTCTTTTAAGTTGTATTGGTCGACTGTCGGCTGAACATGAGCCAGCAGTGTGCCCGGGTGGCCAAGAAGGCCAACAGCATCCTGGCCTGTATCAGGAACAGCGTGGCGAGTAGGGCCCGAGAGGGGATTGTCCCCCTGGACTGGGCACTGGTGAGGCCTCACCTCGAGTACTGTGTCCAGTTTTGGGCCCCTTACCATAAAAAAGACATTGAGGTGCTGGAGCGGGTCCAGAGAAGGGTGACAAAGATGGTGAGGGGTCTGGAGAATAAGTCTTATGAGGAGAGGCTGAGGGAACTGGGGTTATTCAGCCTGGAGAAGAGGAGGCTGAGGGGAGACCTCATTGCTCTCTACAACTACCTGAAAGGAGGGTGTAGAGAGGTGGGGGTCGGTCTCTTCTCCCAAGTCACAGGCGACAGGACGAGAGGAAATGGCCTCAAGTTGCGCCAGGGGAGGTTCAGGCTGGATATTAGGAAAAATTTTTTCACTGAAAGGGTCATCAGGCATTGGAATGGGCTGCCCAGGGAGGTGGTTGAGGCACCATTCCTGGAGGTGTTCAAAAGACGGGTTGATGTAGTGCTGGGAGGTATGGTTTAGTGATGATGCTCCTTGTTTGTTGTGTGGGTGTCTATTTTTGTCAGTTAGGTTGACAGTTGGACAAGATGATCTTTAAGGTCCCTTCCAACCTAGAAGATTCTGTGAATATTCTGTGATTCTGTGATTTTATGTTGGCCAATCTAGAGGGACAACCTCTGAGAAAAAAAAAAAAAAAAAGCAGCAAATAGCAATGAAGGGAAGGAACGAACCCCTAATTCTGAAGTGTGTCTCAGCATGGCCCTGTCTTGCAGCTGGGACAAACTCAGTGGGACTCACCAGGGCTAGGGAGCACAACTATGAAGAAGATAGTAAGTAAAGGTTATTTAAATAGAACAGCATAAAAAGTCGTGTTCGTAGTAAACCCAGCACAGAGAAAGGGTTAGTAGGGGAATAGGTTTGTCTGTCTTGGCTTCATTTCACACCCAGTGGGGACTGCTCTCTCCCCAGTACAGATCTGAGCTCAAACCCAAACACATACCTGTGCAAGAGACAGCAATGGGAAGGCTTGTCATCCATCCTTCCACTGGATTATCAACTCTTCAGGGATGAAAGATTTATTATTCCCATGTCCCGGGCCTAATTCCAATTCATCCCAAACAGGTCTAGCTTTTGAAAGCACAAAACCGTGCCATAGCACTCTGGAAATGTCCAGACAAAATGCAGGAAGATTGCCGATAAAGTGACGTGCTGAATGGCTTTACAGGCAGAAGAAGGTTTTTGGAGGGAGGGAGGGAGGGAGAAGTGCTTAGTTGGGGGGCAATGGGGGTATGGTGGTACTTCAAATGCTGTTGTTGGGATGGGAAGCTTCCATTAAAAATTCTCTGTCTTTGTCTGCCTGTCTCATCCTGCCTATCTCTTAAAGTTCAGCACTGACTGATCTTGTGGTCTGAAACCTCAGAATGTTTCTGTTTTCAGTGTTTCTCTTCCTAGCCCTGATGCTGATTTCTTATGCAACTATGCCTATCTTCTACCCATCTGGAGCCCTAAGCAGGTAACTGAGCAGTCATGTGCAGATGTCAGAGGCAGGGGGAGCTTCCCCTGAAGTTAAAAAGATGGCAGTTATGTGATTAGTTTTACGACATTTTAATTTGATACTTGTCGTTGACTTTGTTCCCTGCCTTGATTTCTCTGTTCATAAAAGGAAGATATGCCTCTCCAGGTCTGAGCTGTTAAAAAGCACACAATCTATACCTCCGATCATAAATACATATCACTACTTTCAGCTCACCTAAATTAGTTTGCTTTTCTTTTTCCCAGGGAAACATAAGCTGAAAGATATTTCAGGACTCAGCATTGCTTAACTGACTATGAGATTACTGCTTTGCACCATTCCTTTTTATTTATTTTCTTTTTTTTTTTTTTCTCCACAATAAAGGCGATTGCTGTGGCTGGTCTGTAATGGCATTTATTTTCAAAGATAAGCATCACCACAGTAGACCTTCTTCTAATATTAGTACAGGCTTATTTAACAGCATCTCACTTACGGTATTGGTCTATGAAAATGGCACAAATTGTCATGTTGTCACCTTATATGGAAAGCCTGAAAGTGTATTGCAAGCCTGAGAAGATATTTTTCTATTTATGTGAGACATCAACTAATTGCAAATGTCGGCTGGGGAGTTGTTCTCCAGTCAGAACTCAGAAAGTCCCATAATCAGGAGCTGGAACCGTCTGTTTGTTGCAGATCAAAATCACAGAATCACAGAATCACAGAATCTTCAAGGTTGGAAGGGACCTTAAAGATCATCTTGTCCAACTGTCAACCTAACTGACAAAAATAGACACCCACACAACAAACAAGGAGCATCATCACTAAACCATACCTCCCAGCACTACATCAACCCGTCTTTTGAACACCTCCAGGGATGGTGCCTCAACCACCTCCCTGGGCAGCCCATTCCAATGCCTGATGACCCTTTCAGTGAAAAAATTTTTCCTAATATCCAGCCTGAACCTCCCCTGGCGCAACTTGAGGCCATTTCCTCTCGTCCTGTCGCCTGTGACTTGGGAGAAGAGACCGACCCCCACCTCTCTACACCCTCCTTTCAGGGAGTTGTAGAGAGCAATGAGGTCTCCCCTCAGCCTCCTCTTCTCCAGGCTGAATAACCCCATTGTCGCCCTTCTCTGGACCCGCTCCAGCACCTCAATGTCTTTTTTATGGTAGGGGGCCCAAAACTGGACACAGTTGCAGCCAACGTGCACTGACAAAGCGATGCAGTGGCTAACGCCTGACGGGCCCTACTGGAACCTGCCCACTTCTGCCCACGGGGTCCCTCAGCCGAGGCGCCGAAATGAGGAAGGTAGGCTGGGGAAAAATCCAGTCTTACTAATGTTTAAATGTTTCATCAAAACAGTTTGATTTTGACAAAACCAAATCTCAATTGGGAAAAAAAAAATATGCAAAAGCCTTTTTTTTTTTTTTTTTTGGTCCAATTTTCATGCTAAAAGCAAAGCATAAACTTCTATTTCAATGTTCTATTTTCTATTGAGCTGTGGAAAAAAAGACATTTCCTGAAAAAATAGGGAACAAAAGAATTGTTTTAATAGCGTTTCACAGAAATTATAAGATCATGATGATATTAACAGTGGACTTCAGGAATCACCCACAGAAGGTAAGAGTGGTACCTTACCCTGACGCTGAATATCTGTAGCCTTGCTCATGCTCATGCTCATGAATTTGGGGTAAATACATGGAAAACAATGGGGTTTTGCACTGGTTCAAGCGACGCAGAGCAGCTCTCCTTTCAGTAGCCAGTTCCCGAGTTGTTGCTGGTGCAGGATGTTGGGAAGCAGCCGAGATCAAAGCGCAGGTCTCCGTTTCAGACGTTGGTGGGTGATGAAACGCAGAGCGAGGAGGTGTCCCCCAGGCAGTGACTCCAGCCGTGGGGCCCTGCTCCTGGCTGCGACCCTCTTGCTCGGCTGTAATGAAGCTAATTTACATGCTGAGACCATCTCACTACCCGCAGCTTATCTACGGGCTCGAAGGGACGTTTGCACCAAATCCTGAGGTTCACCTGCTGATGTTCAGGAGATTTATTCCTAAACTATTTGTGTAATTCACAAACTTTTCCTGTTTTTTCTTCTAGATGAAGCCCTGGTGCGCTAGTGACTTTCCATGGACACATGTGAAGCTGATGAACTGTGGAGCTTTTTTAGTTTGTAGGAGGGAAACTGAGGCACGTGCTCGCTGCGCATCCGGCAAAAGCATGTCGATAACCAGTAATGAGAGAGGAGTGCTCCGTCTGTTCAGACTATTCAGCTCTTTGCACGGCTGCCCACGTGGCCAGGTAGTTGCCATTAAATAAGATGATTAATTCCTCGACAAGTTGCTATCTGGCCTAGCAGTCCAGCATTTCCTTTTGGCATCTGTGGCTGCTTTGAGGAATGCAGCTTTATAGATTTTTACTAATTATCTAATAGCTTTTCAATCTCTTGTTTCAGTACGTGGAACTGGTGTTAATTAATTGCAGATCTTCAGCATACCATTCTTAACTGATTCCCCTAGTAAATATGTTTAACACTTGCCTTGGTTTCCTGTACATGATTCATTCGGTTGGTAAGTGATCCATCTTTGTTTGCTGTCAAAGTCTTTGAGTTGGAAGAGGACTTTAATCATGTTACTTGGCTTTTCTGAATAGGGAGAAGAAATGGAGTCAAATAAGCACGCAATGGCAATGCAGTTAAAAAAGAACCATGGCCTGGGTTTCTTCCACCAATAAAAAGTTGTGCAAGCTTCAATTTCCCTTTCATTTTCATGAAGAACATGCTGGAGACATCTATTCAGCCAAAGAAGTGAAATTAAAACAAAGAAACGAAAACATCTTGAAAGGGGGGAAGAAGGCACTTTCCCAGCTTATGCGTTAATTAAGACCAGCCAAAGCCAACGGCTTCAAAAGGAAGGAGGAAGCCAGCAGTAAGCACGGCTGCAACTGCTTTTAATGGGCTCTAGCAATGGCATGCATGCCAGACAAAGCCATAGCAGGCTTTAATGCAACAGTGCCAGTTCAAAGGCTATGGCCCAACAGTTGGCAAAACTGAAGTTACTGAATAGTAAAATTGTTTCACGAGCAGATTTGTCAGCAGCAGTAGGGGACAAAGGAACTTGTTCAGCAGAACACGATCATCTTGAGAACTATAAACACTGCTGGTTTAAAGATAAAATCAAAGGCCTTGAGAGCAAAGCAGAAGTAGACATAAATATATGCATAGTTGGCTTTCCTGAAGGCGAAGAGGTTTGCATCCCTCTCAAACAATTCAGAAAGAAGCTGTTAACTGCCCCAGGTTGCTCTTGCACCCTTAGCTCCTGCTGTTCTCCTGGATGAAAGCCTGCCCAGAGATGCAAGAACATACAGCAACACTGGTAGGTTTTCTGCGCATCCCATCAGCAGTGGACATCTGGGAATCTGGCAGGAGAATTTATACCCTTCCCCTCCACAAAAAAGCTGAGTGCAACCTGCAACATCCTATTATAAATATTTCATACAATAGAAAAAAAAAAAAAAGGAGTTGTCTAACAGCAGAAGACTGAGCTGTTATTATGTTTTTGACATGCATATTTCTTCTCAGTGCTGTTCAACCTGTGTTTCTGATCCAACTGACTGGGAAAACAGCTGGTAATTTTCTATTTCTTTTGACCAACATTCCAAGTTCTCACTTTAAAGGCTTCCTGGGTCCCTTCATCAGAGATCAGCAGCACACGTGCATCTTTTCAAGACAATGATAACTACAAGGGAGTCACCTAAAATCAAAATAAGTGTCTGTCTTTGCTTTATTCCAAACTGGCACACGACACCAGTGTAAATTAGTGATGACACACAGTTTATTGCTATCAAAAACAGCATTCAGAGAGATGGAGCTGAGACACTGGAGGGAAGCGATCATTACCCTCAGGGAGGCTTTAGTGTCAAAGCTGTATGAATATGTATCCACTGATAAAAGCCCGGCTCACGCTGCAGTGTTCAGACAATATCACATTCTCATGCGATCCTGCTATCAAAGGCCACAAAGTTTTTCCCTGGATGTGCTCACGCAGCCTCTGTGTCTGAATGAGATCTTCCACTTTGATCCGGAGAGACATGACAGTCTGAAAAATGTACCACATCTACCACATCCTTCATGGTTTCTTCTCATGTTTAGTCATCCTCCACGTGAAAAAAACTCTACATCTTGTTGCTAACTTAATGTCACCTAGTTTCAGTTTCCCACCACTGATTTCTGTGGCTTTCTCCGACAGAGATATCCCTCTCGTAGCTGCTGTATTCTTCCTGAGAAAGCACTCCTGTATTACAAGTACTTTACCTCTCAAACCCACTTTAAATATTAAATCTCTTTTTAGTTCTCACCAAAAGGCATTTCCACCAGGTCTCATGCTATTTTTGGAGGCCCTTATTTTGCATACCCCCTTGACATCCTTTTTCCGCGTCATCATATGGAAAGGTAATACTCAGCCTCGTGAACCTATTCATTTATTCCTTGTTTGATCATTGTGGGATCATTTTAGCTCTCTTTTCCACACCAACACGTTAGGGGCTCCAGTGGAGCTGCCTACTCATGTTTTTCCTGCTTCCTAGACAGTTTACTAATTTCAGTTAAAAAAATCTTATTGGCTCACTAGAGTAAATGACATCTACAAAGTAGCAGGACTTGTTGGTTGCCAGCAAGTGACTTGCCTACTTCCCTAGATTTGATTCCTTCCTCCGCAGAGGAGAAATAATGTTTCTTCAGCACTTGGTCCATCTCGTCAGCTCAGACTAATCTCATCACAACACTGGGAAGAAAAAGAAGATGTTTAATCCTTTTGTGATTAACAGGGAATCTGGAGCACTTACGGGTGGATCTTTTGAGGATGCTGAAGGGATTTATGGTTGCTGCATAGACTGGTAGCGTTGGTCAGTATGGCAACATTAGCAGACAAAACCCTGATGCATTCGTGTTGCTTTCAGACAGTCTGTCCCATCGTATCCGTACCGCAGGTGTGCTCAGGGAGTTGAAATTTCCTTCTGCACTGTTCGCAGTATCACTTTCTGTAATGAAGGATTATTATAAATGAATTTGTTTTCTTATATTCCCAGCATGCCTCCTGAGGGTAAAATAGCTTACGGAGGCTGTGTTTACATGCTGCTCTGTAGGTACATGCCTATTGGTTCTGCCAGTATACGTGCAGCTGGTTGCTCAGACCTGGTTTGTGCCTGGTGTTTTCACGTTGGAGGCAAAGAAATTGTGAGTCTGGCTGTAACAGGCCACACTGAAGTGCCCAGAGCTGGCCCATCACCAGAGCTTGTGCTCCAGAGGGACAGCCAGGAGAGCTGAGGCAAATCATCTCAGCATGGGGAGGCAGAACTGAGACTTGTGGGGCTGCCACCCCCCAAGACGTAGCCTGGTCATAGGTGATTTATTGCTTTGTCTTCTTTTCTTTTAATCCCAGGTCTCCTTATACATGAAGGAGATCATCTTTCTTGGGCGTTGCTGTTGAGACAAGCCCAAAAAATTCAGACTTTGCAGACAGCTGTGGTCTCCTGGACCTGAGGAATGAGTGCCCAGTTCCCAAGTGTCCTATGAGTGAACACTATTTGCACAGGGAGCTTGCTGGCCTTTGTGTGAGACAAAATGTGTGATCCTGGTTCCTTCAAAGGAGATGTCACAGCAAAGGGCTGAGTCTTCTCCATGGTTAGCAGTTTTCTGGGATGTGAGTGTTCCCACAAAGGTTTGGTTTATTGAAGGCTCTGTCCTGTGAGCAGCCAGGTTGAAGGCCTGGAATCAATATGAAGAAGCTTCTGGGTCTGACTCTGCAGAGGAAATCTCTATTAATAACTAAGCCCTGAGGTTTTTCAAGCTGCTGTTTTGTCTAGATCCCAGGTTGATGTCCCTGAGTTGTGGCCCATGGATCCAGCTAGAGTCAGAGCAACCTGCAGGATTTGTTGGGGTTGCTGCTCCTCTGCTCACCCTATCCAAAAAATTGCAGCCTGTGAGGGTGAATGCAACATTTTCTTGTCTCCTTCCATAAGCCAGGGAACCATGTTTTCTCCATAAGGCATGTGACAATGCAAGCAATGATGTCAATGGTTTCACATTTTATAATTGCCATGGCAACTATATTGTAGCTTAGACCAGCCACATTTAATTTCTGGGGCTGTCTCTCTTAAAACACGACATAATTTTGCTTTCAAAACCATCCAACCACCCCATTCTCACACTACCCCACCAGCCATGCCACACAACAACAGTTGGTTGTGGCAGCACCTTTGGAGGCTCCCATGCGTAGGGTTACTTGTTCCTCCACATTTCTTCCCAAATAGTGCAGGATCTCAGGAGGGAGGGCTGTGTTTGGCAAGTGTTTTTCAGAAGGGAGCATCTTGCGATTTTCTGAGCCTCTGTAGTCACAGCTAATTCTGCCTCCTGCTTTCAGCTCTCCTGTTCCGTTTGTGGTCCTGACGCTGATCCAAACCCCCCTCTGAAACCTCCTGAAGTCAGGAAAGCTAAGAAAGGTCTTCAGCATCAGGTAACCTCTGAACAGCCCTCCTCTAATTAACCTCAGGTTACAGGCAGTGCAGGGGAAGGCAGCTACCACAGAAGAAGGGGCTGGAGTGAACGGCGTGTCCTGTGGGAAAAGCTCAAGTCCTGGAAGGAAATGCTGGCCATGGTTATGTCAAGGGTCTCTGCTGACACTTCATCATGCTTCTGTCTGAAAATGAATCATGTGCTGTTACAAGCAAGTTCTAAGATGATTAGATGAAGTGGAGGAGGGACAGCAATATTAGCCACATTTTCAGTCTGCGGAAGGGATTTTTTCTATGTTCTTGAAATTTCCCATTTTACTTCTCAACTAGAAAACATAATTTTCTGGTTTATGTGCCACTCGGGGGCCATGTTCACCAGCTCAGCTCTGCCAGCTAACTCTGGCCAAGACATATCGTCTCAGGAGTTAATGGCTTTGCTTTCATATCCTTCATCTACTCATCTCCTCAGATCAGCATTCCCCAAAATCCACCAGCCCATGGGCTACAAGACACAACAAGTTTTCCAGGCAACACTACACTTTGCTCTCCCTGTGAGCCTCAGTTTTAACTTCAGAGTAGCATCAGGGCAGGTTCCCATGAGCTGTGGGCTAGTGTGGCCAGCAGGATGACATTTCAGACCAGGAGCTGTTGACGTTAGGATGGACACCTACAGCCTTGGGCCAGATATTTGGAGGAGCACTGGTGTCAGGCCAACTGTAATTATTAATGATGCTTATGGATCTGGGAGTTCTTCATGCTGTAGAGAGAAAAATGAGCCTTAAAAACTGTCTAAATCCTGAGGCAAAGTGGGATTTAAGGCTTATGTCTCTTATTATTTCTAACCAGCTTGTTTAAACAGCTTCTTCCGTGGTGTGCTGACCTTTCTCGGTTTGATGTCTGAGCATATACCTCCCCCCTCATTATACGGTCTAGATGCCAAAGATGCCAGGTCTCACAACTCTCAGCCACACAATCCTATTAACCAACTGCTAACATAATTCTGTGTCTAAAACGTACGACGTTTCCTTTCCTAACAGTGTCAGTAGATAAACATGCTAGCGACGTGAGGCATTTGGATGTAATTATAATAGGAACCAGGAGTGGGATTAAAAAGTTCCAGGTGAGCTGTGTCTCTTGAAATATGACTTTGTCCCCCTGGAGATCTCATCTGTCTACCTACCAACCTGATTTTCTGAGCTGCTGTGGGCAGGTATGGAGCACAGCCTGCCTGCTCTGCAGTGACTGCCAGGAAGATGCCCCTTCTTGTAATTTTTAAAATGGAAATATGTTTCGAATGATTTCCCTGACCAGTCCTCCCTGGCAGACCTTTTTGCTCAGAAATGCTCCTGCAGAGGATGTGGGTTACCCTTGTGAGGAATCTGACTACCCAAACGCACAGTCATTTTCAGTTTCCCAGAGTGGTATTGCTTTCATGTTGTCAGATAAGAGATACTTGTGGTTAAGAGTGTAATGCAGTTTCAATAATAATATCTCTATTGTTCAGTCTAGTTTTTAATAGCTCTGTGATTCCTGTAGCATATAAACAACAGGAACTAAAGTATAATATAAGGCAGTGGTCAGAGTTCATTCCTTGTTCTCCATCCTCTTGTTCTCACGCACAAGCAGCCCCTCTGAGATGCTGACCTACAAATGATGAGAGTCTTCAACAAGCTCTGAGAAGAAACCAGCACATTATTTCAATTCTCAGCAGCTAATTTTCAGACTCATTTATCACACTGCTGACCAAACCACCGCCAAGTTAGCACTTCGGGGTGGGCACTGGGATGTGGTGGAGAAGGCAGCAGTCTAAGCCCCAACTAAGGTAATACTCAGCTGAGCAAGGTGTTTATTCCAAGAGCTAATTTTTCAGAAAACTGATGGCATTTTGAACTTTGCAGGCACTATTTACTGAGAATTCAATATGCCCTGATGGCCCAATCCTGCTGTGTGCTGGCTGTGTCCAAGCCCTGATAAAAATGCGGGTTCCCAGCAGAGGACATTAGATTCATGGCTCAGCCACATGATTAGTTGCCACATTAAATCTATCACAGCTTGCTCCAGGTGCACAAATGTGGGGTGAAATGCTGCCCTGAGACACCGCACTGGTACTCCTTACCATACAACTGTACCAGCTCTGCACAATGTCTACCCTAATTCACTCTGCCCCCCAACAGGACCAGGTGGGTTATTTGTAGTACTATGGTGGTGTTCCTGTGCTGGTTCCAGACAAAGAAATGGCTTGTTTGGTACTAGTGAGGAGGTCTGCAGGTCTGCACGGGACTGCCCGAAGAGGTTCCCTGTGCTTTGTGAAGCCACCAGCAGACAGTAGTGCATGTGCCTTAGGGCCTGGGCGTGTGATGCATTCCATACGTGGTCCTGTGTGAATGCACAGAGGAGGGGTCAGGACATCACAGGCTGTTAAGATGCCATTGCGAAAGTCTAGAGAGAACCCTTTGCAAGATCAGGCCTTGAAAGCAGAGCATCACCCACAGCCCCAGACCTCTTGCCCAGCAGAGCCCAAATAGCAGCCCTAAGTCAGAGGAAGGTTTTGGAACTCTGAACAGGGACTGCTGGGTGAGACCTAAGGCCTTCTAGACCTAAGGCCTTCTAATCTGCGTGATTAGAAACACAGCTGGAACAACTGTGTTACTAACTCATATACCCAGACAGCTTCCAGACAAAAGCAGGCAGGACTCATGCAATACGCTGGGCCACATTTTCCTCACCTTGGGAATTCTGTGAGCAACTGAATTTCTTGAGAGTCAGGGATGGCAGTAACCCCATCATGAGGATCAGGGAGAGGTACTGATAGACTAAGCCATGGGGCATCCTAAGAATTATCATGGGATTA